ATGATAAGGATGTAATTGCTGCTCTTTCAGTATCCGCCAAGTACTTGAAGAAGAAGTATTTGTTTGTCTTGCTATATTTTTTACTCTAACTGTTGGATCTTGATCAAGTAAATTTAAAATATTATTTTCTTTATTAATTTTTCTTGTCGTTCAACGGATTTAAATGTTTTTTTACTTGGTAAGTTTCTTTTAGGAAACTTTTCTGCATAACGTGTCACAGCTGCACTAGAAGATCCTAGACATTCGCCTAAGGTTAATAACATGTCAGTGTATTCAACATTTGAATAAATTTTTATTTGATTTTACAAATAACAAGATTTCAAAACTTTAATTATTGTTGATTTATCGTCATAACAATCAATAAATATCAGATCTCCATGGCACACTTGGAGAAAATAGAGGTATACCTATTAGAACTTTATCATTACTACAAGCATTAATTATTACTTCATAATTTTCAAATCAAAATATTCCGAAAACGGTACACAGTATCGAGTTTTACCAAGAGTACCTTTTTCATGTAAAATTGAATGATGTTTAAGTTTACTTGAAATTTTGATTAATAATTATACTCTTAAAAAAGGTATATTGACTAATACTTAGTACGATCCGTGTAACTGGCGCTCTCTATGAGAATCAGATATAAAAACAAATTCATTGGATGTATCAGCTTCCAAAACATATTCGTATAAAATTTCATTACAATGTTGTCAGTAGTTTTGGCAAAATCGTAAAAAATGCGTGATTTTTTTTCTTCAACGCCCTGTATCTTGAAAGCGGATGAAATTACAAAAATTTTTTACTAAGCAAACCCCATTATTTTTCAGTTTTTTACCTACCCTAGAGACGGGGTTACCTTTTTTGAAACATCCTGTATATACTTAAATTTTTGTATTACTCTTAAAGTATTCAAAGTTTACTTATGTACATTGTTTTATTTATTATTTATGAACCTCTATTATACTAATATGGCTATCATTAAATAACATTAAACATAATGTATGTTTTCAAAAGAACGTGGATTGTTGTCTGCCAAACATGATACTTCTACTAGATTAATGTCATGTTTACCCGATCCTGGATCTGCAATATTAATCTTCTAAATTGCTTTTTAGTTGTTGAGAAGCCAATATTTCTCTTCATTACAACAGATTTGATTTATTAAACAATGTCTGAGCATAGCTATGCGGAGTAAATATTAATATTAATGAATTTTCTGCTGCCGGACTGGACGACTCTGATTCTCAACGAAAGGTTCTTAGCTAGATTAACAGGCTATATATTAGAGATTTAAGACACCATTAAAATATATTTTTAAAATAAATCACAAAATAGATAAGAATTCAACATAAACTTATAAATAAGGAATAATATATGTACAAGATTATTATTGGCGACGTGCAAGTACTTGGATGTGATACGAGAAACGATCGTGCGCGAGTAGCGGAGAAATCTTGCATTTTTTACTGCACATTTCATAGATTTCTTAAATTCATATTGTCAATTGTTATATTTCATATTCGTTTGTTTATTTACACCTTCTGTCACTGAAGAAAATGGAATTTAGGAAATGCTGTGTTATAAATTGTAAAAATACAACAAAAAATTGTCAATTTAAGTTTTATTCGTTTCCAACTTCGAAGCACAAATTACTAGAAAGAGAAAAGTGGATTTATATCATAAAAAAGCATAAGTAACATAACCTAAATTATGCATTATTCTTGCGCCCGATTCAGTCAAAAGTCAGTTTGAAATAAATAATAAATAAAAGTTCACTTTTAAGTGTAAGTTTTAGTTTCATAAAACTCACTTAGAATTTATTTTAACCCAAAAATAAAGTTTAATGTTTAAATTTTATTTTTTTGAAGTTTACAAAAATGCATCAAGTTTTTCTGAAGATGCATTAAGATATATTCGCTGTCCAAAAGTTTACAGGGAAAGAATTAATTGTTCAAACCAATATGATGATATCGTGGACTTAACCTGCTAATTTATGCATTTATTCATTGGCATTATTTATGGTAATTTATTTTTAATTCTTCCACATAATTCTTCTATTCTTTTTTGACATTTGCCACTACTAAAGCTTTTCCCTTTGACTCAGTGCTTGGTTGAAAAGTTATTTGGTGTTTACTTTCTCAAATCCAGTTTTGATTATTGCATCCATATTAACAGTAATGCTGTAATTTAATAATATATTTATTTGTATTTACACTGCATACAACGTTTATCTTTTAATAACATACCGACATACCTCAATCTTACTTTTTCTTCTTATTCTTTTTTGGGGCTACGTTCTTGACAGTTATCCGGTAAGCTCGATCTAACATGAAAGCGCAGTAAATTTTGCTGATTTACGACACCAGGTGTCGCTGTTCCGAACTTGCACGGTCCCAATATTATTATTTAGTATGTAAACTGCGAGGCATAAGTTAGGGATATAGCTTAATATTAAATAAACAATTATACAGTAGGATAACTGTAAAGATATCAATAAATAACCACAATATTTATTACACTGGAGAAGACAAAACTGATCATCGATACGGAGTAGCTTTCATCATAAGCAACACTATTATATAATCAGTGCTAGGTGCGATTCAAATCTCAGAAAGAATAACAATGCTAAAAATTCAAATACGGGACCGTAATAGTAGTATGATTTTAGTCTTTGCTCCCACAGCTGATAAGACCGAAGATGAGATCCAAAAGTTTTATTCAGAATTGTACAATACTATCAAGTTAACAAAATCTAGAGATATTACTTACATTTTAGGAGACTTTAATGCAAAAATTGCTAAAAGAGTAGGTACAGTTGAAAATATAGTTGGACAGTTCGGATTAGGAACTAGAAACAAGAGAGGAAAAAGGCTCATAGGGTTTCAGCTTCCCAAGAGAACACTATATACATGGACGTCACCTTCACATACAGAAAACCACATTGTCAGAAACCAGATAGGCTTTATACTCGTAAATAGTAGATATAAAAACTCTATAACCTCAGTTAAAACTTATCCTGGAGCAGATGTTAACTCAGATCATAATCCGTTAGTTGCTGACGTGAAAATAGAATTTAAAAAAAATTGAACTAAAAAAAACAACCAAAAATTAATGTAAGAATGCTAAAAAACGAATAAATAAAAAACGAATTAAAAAATATTCTGAATGTTAATATGCATAAAACACTAACTGACAACAAACAAATTATGAATGTAAATAAAAAGTGGTATAATATAAAAAAAAGGCATTACTAAAACCAGCTCAAGAAATTTGATACAACATAGGTCAGAGGCTAAAAAACAATGGATAACAGAAGAAATACTATTACAGGTGGAAGACAGAAGGGAATATAAAGGAAAAGAATAATCAAGGAAAAAATCAAAACAGCTAAAGAAATCTATTTGATGTAACAATGTAAAGAGATAGAAGAACTAGAAACAAAATATGATATAAAATAAAATAGAAAATGAGAAATATGCACAAAAAAATACGAGAAGTGACTGGAATTGGTCGAAATAGACAGCAAGGATACATAAAAGACAAAAAAGGAGTACTACTTATAGATTTACCAGAGAAATTAAGACGATGAGAGGAATACGTTAGAGAACTTTTCCAATATGAAGGAGGTGAAATGCAGAAAATACAAGAATTAAATCATTTAGAGAGACAGAAGATCACGATAGATGAAATCAAATATGCTATCAAAAACTCTAAAGACAATAAGGTAGTTGGATTAGACGAAATGCCAGTAGAACTGTTAAAACTAGTGGAAGAGAATAACTTGGAAATATTGGCAGATTTATTCAACACGGTGTACGATACGGGAATAATACCACACGAGTGGTAATACTCATATACCCCACGGTGCTCCTCAGTGAAGCTGCTTATCCTACAATGCGAAGAGATGGAAGGATAACGATGCTTTCTGATTGTACTTATAGTTCGAATCTAATGTATCTATCTTTTTGGATGTCCTGGTCACTGACCATTTGGTAGCTGTGAATTGTGCCGTTGAAAGGTGGCAGCGGTGAGGGCCTAAAAGCCTTCAAATCTTCATCAGGGATAGCTGTAATCGGATGTGCCTAAACCACAGAATAATGAACAATCAGAATGCCCACTCTCAGATGCCGCCTTTGAAGTTTGTCAGCACGCGAACGCCATGTTTTAGACGGAAACATAGACTCGAATTGAGAAATTTGTGACAAGCTACGTACAAGCTACGCTTATAATGTAGATGCTGTATGCTTCAAATATAAAAAGATAAAGCTTTACAAAAGTACATTTTGTTTATATTGTGTTATAAATTCTACAATTTTTGATTTATATAAAACAAGAATGAGTAAATATTTGTTTCTTTGGAGATTAATTGCAGTTAATTATTAGAAATCTTTTTAGCAATTACCCTTTGGTAGATTAGAGGATAGACTTGGCAATCGTCATATCAACAGTTGCCAGATTACAACAGATGTTTGCAATTAATCTAGACAGAGACAAATATCTACTCGTTATTGCTTCGTATAACTTAAAAATTGCAGAATTCATAAAATAGTATAGGTAATCAAAATGTACTTTTGAAATCTAAATATAAAATCATGCCAACACTGTTAAACCGAAATATTTTTGACATTTGCGATTTGCGGCTATCTTCAGCTTGTACTTTCGGTAAACTCAACCTTATTTTTATAAGCAGAGTGGGCATTCTGATTGTTTATTATTCTGTGCCTAAACTATAAAAATATTAATTCAAATACGGTAATATGCTTGTAATAATAATAGCTTCTTAGAAAGTATAAGGAGTCCTAGAAAGCATAAATATGGAGCATATATGATAATGATAACGACCTAATAACTTTCCTTTAAAAAGTTGAACATGATTATTTAAAGAAACGTTAATCGTAAGAAATAAGCTGTATTGAGGTGTAAGCATCTAACTTCAGATCAATGGATGGATGTATTTCTGTCATCGGTCATCTAGGATGATTTCTGTCATTCTGTCAAACTTTAGATGTCAAAAAATAAATAAACATTTTGCACTGTCTGAAAATGAGTATCAATCCAATTCTTTTGCAAAAATCTATAAAAGATAATGCAGCAGACCTGCATGACTTTTCAAAAGACCTAAAAAGTTGGGGTGAAGAAATGAAACGCAAGGAAGAAGCTTTGAAAAATGATAAGGTAATATATATCATAGTAACCTCTATAGATAAATGTTTTAATAATCTCCTACTGTTAAAACGATAAATAAAGCTGCTTAAAAGGCATAATTACAAAAGTAATTAAGTAAGAAAGGTTATATATGTAATAAGTGTGTTATTATGTCATAAATGTATGGGGTGACAAAAAGTAAATCATGATTTTTTCATTGCAAGACTCATGGATACTAGGTAATGTCACATAATGTTTATTTTATAACTGATAACCAAGAGAATTGGGGAGTATTTTATTGATTAAAAATTTTAGCCCCATGTGCATCAGACCTGTGCACAGCATGTTTTTACTATGAAACATGTATACCAATTTTTTCCACAGTATTATTGTGTTATAATAACGTGGCATAAGTATGTTTAGTCTGAGATGAACGGATCATGTCTATGCTTTTGGGCTTAATATGTTAGTAAAACATCTTACGATTTTTTGTATGGATTTTTAAACAATATGCAATTAATGTTAATTTAAAAGTTTTTGTGTATGTATCTGCTAACCTTATGTTCTGGATTGGCTGATTTCAGTCCAAACTGTATTGTTAATTTAGTAATTATTCTTTGTTGCATTGCATACATTTTTACCAACTAGCAATGGCTGGAAATTACTTTACAACCAAGCATACATGCATCTAGCCAATATTTTACCAAAAAAATATTCACATATAGGTCATTAACAAAATAAAACTTCATCAATTAAAACAAAAGTTTTTTTAATGAAAATTACTGAATATATACTCCAATTATTTATTAATTTTAACATCATTTAACCATCAACTGAATGAATGGATAATAGTAAATGATACCAATTAAAAAATGTTATAAGGAAGAGAAAACAGTGCAGTATGTGTATGTACTGTGACGCCCTTTGAACTCTGCCATTTTTTTATGACACCCCTAAATGCAGTCACTAAAAATACTTAACAATTTTAGTACTACCCTAATAATAGGATATCAGAAAAACACTTTTGAGATTTATAATTTTTATTAGAAGATAAGAACAAAATCAAAACAAGCATAAAAATAAAACAAGATATTTATCTAGCTGGCTGGCTAGTTATTTGAGAAACCTGTACCCTAGTTTGTAAATTGCCATTCTCTTTTCTTTCATAGCTCCATAATTCAAACAATTTAACCTTGTCATACTGAGGCTTTACACTGAAATCACAGGACAATTCTATTAATTATTCTTCATCTTCCTCTATTGAAATTTGCGATGCTGAGGGTGATTGGAAAGGTTTTTTAACACAGTGATATTGCTCCAGCTACCTTGTAAAGCAGGGAAACAGTCAATTACTTGATCTTAAATTTTTTTCTTTCATAATAGCAACTTCTGAAACCCAGTAATTTTATCTTCCAACTGCAGGATATGAGTTGCTTTCCTGCAAAGGCTTATTAAGATCATTTTTTAATTTGTTAAATATGTCACAGAGATATGCCAATTTTATTATAAACTCTATATTATCAAAGTTTTGTGCATCATTCTGTCTAAATTAATACTAATTTTTCTAATAATTAAAACCTGTCCATCAGAGATACATAGTTACTTAGGAGAATTTACAATTATGTAGTTATAAAAAAATTCATTATTTTAGGCATCTATCAATTCTAAAACTGTAAACAAAGATTCCAAAAGCACTAAAAAGTTGAAACTTAATGAGAAATTGAAAAAACCAGCTACAAAACTTGGAGCTACAGACTATGCAGCATGGGATAAATTTGATGCTGATGCTGAGCTTGAGAGATTAGAAGAAGATATTCCTGATGACTCGGATTTAACAGATGAATGCAATGAAAATATGATAGATGAATCTATTGTAGAGAAAGAAAAGGTATATTTTATTTTACTTAAATTAACATCATTCATTTATACATATCTAATAATTGTTATGTTACTGTTGTTTTTATTTTTCTTTAATGTTTTAGGGCAACCAATTTGTTAAAAATCAAAAGTGGGAAGAAGCTATAAAATGTTATACAAAGGCTATTAAATGTTACTCATATGATCCTATATTTTATGCAAACAGGGCTCTTTGTTATTTAAAATTAAATAAGTAAGTATTATATATTTCCAATAATTAGCAATTCAAGTATATTGTTTGTAAGTATACTTTGGATACATTAGTAGAGAAAGAGAAAGTATGGAAAGATGATAGTTGAAGGCAATGTAGCTGGTAAAAGATCTAGAGGAATATGTTCATCAAAATGGTCAAACCAAATATATATATATATATATATATATATATATATATATATATATTATATATATATATATAATGGCTTTACACCCCAGTGTGGAGTTAAACCACAAATGCTTTCTAGATCCTATTTCTTAAGCAGATTAGTCTTTTTTTGTTTATCTTATCTTCTTGACAATATCTCTCCATTTTTTCCTGTCTCTAGTTCTTCCTTTCCATTCACTGACTCCTGCCCTTTGGAGGTTTTCTTCAACTTCTTGCAGCCACTTTGATCTCGGTCTCAGTCAAACCAAATAAAGAACTTAATTATTATTCTCAGAAGCAAAACAACATGTACACAGAAGAGATAAATGGACACCAGTAGTCAACCAAATTACTTAATGACATAATGACAGATGAGGGGGAGAAACAATAATCTACAATTTTGTTTTAAAATGGCGTACCAACAAGGCCTTTTAGGTTGTTAGACTTATTTGTTTGTCTCTTTATTCTTCTCTGTGCTAGTTCGACAATGATAAGAAGGCTATTCTTTCAAAAAATGTTCTGGGAAACAATTTAATTTTATTAATAGTTTTATTTTTATATAACTTTTAAAAAATTATTATTTTATATTATTTTTATTGACCAGTTAATGTAGTTAATAATCTAATTTGTAGATTTGAAGAATGTGAGAAAGACTGTGACCTCTCCTTAAAATTGGATGACACGTATGTTAAGGCATATCAAAGAAGGGCAGCATCTAGAATAAAACTTAGTAAATTCGAACATGCTGAAGTGGATTTAAAGAAAGTACTGATATTAGAACCGAAAAACAAGGAAGCAAAAGCTGAATTAGACAAACTCTCTATACTTTTGAAAAGAAATGTAGATGTAAGTTAATATCAAAAATGATTTTAAATAATTGCATAACTATTATATTGTGCAGTAGAGCAATCAAGATATAATAATGAATCTATCACCGATAATGAATCTCACATTATTCTTAACTTCTTAATATTTTATAGTTTCACCGCGGATAATTGAAACATTGTGGAAACATATCGTATAATATTTTAATAATTAGTTCATTTACCTACAACTAAATAAATTGCCGAATGGTATATTTTCTAATTGAACTTCCCAAGTGTTGCAATTACGGCCTAGATTAAATTGTAATGTAAGCTAATAGTTCAAAGTTTGTTAGTATGATAGATGGAATGACCTCTGTGCTGAGGTATGAATTATTTGTGAGATTATAAATTGATTACCTAACTAACATCACATAATGTAATTAGTAGTAGCTGTCAATAAAATCAACATTTTTCTCCACAACTTCAACCTTTTATTATATTTATCATTGTCGATCGGAACAAGAAGCGGACAAAGAGGCATTATAAAACGATTTGAACCTCATAAATACGTTCGAATCTGTTCATTTGGTCCTTTGTCAAAACATCATCAAAAGGGCGTTAATTGGATTGGAGCTTCGAAGGAGACGACCCTCAGCGACCTGAACACCTGAGAAAGAGGTAGTCTTTCCTAACAATAAAATTGCTATACTGAGGTGTCGTTTTATAGTTACACAATTAGTACCCACCGATCTAGGTGGTTGCTTTATTATTACACACTGACGACCAATGTTGTTTTATTGTTACAAAGTTTTTACTTCACTGTAAACTTTTTTCACTATAACAGTATAGTACATCTAATCACTGGGAAGTTTGGCATTAAAAGTATTACATTATTATGCATTTGTTAACACTTTTAAATCACATTTTTATAAGAGATGGACTACATTTTATGTTTTTATAGCACTTATTTTCCCACATATTAATACATATTTCTTTAATTTTAGGTAGCTGATCCAAGACCTATCTCAAAATTTACTGCATCCAGGAACAAATCAAATAGCTCAACAAACTTAAAACCCTTTACGCCAATTTATAAACCTCCAAAGGAACAAGTGGTTAACGAGTTACCACAACAAATAATCGATGATAGTACACCTATTCCACAATGGGTCTCAGATCCAGAAATAATTGAAGTGAAACCAATTCAAAAACCTCCTCATTTGAGATCAAAAAAACCTCTTAAACGAATAAAGATAACTGAAATTGGTGATACTCACACAAAAATTGATGTGCCTAAACCAGTAAATAAAGAAGCCGTTAAACAGCATGTTTTAGAAAAGAAAGAAAATGATAACAAACAAGAGTCTATTACTCCAAGACCAATATCAGCTTTTAAAAAAGATAGGAAAGAAAAATTCATTCAACAGGCCGATAATTATTTGAACGAATCTCAAGAATCTCCCAATCAAATATCATTAGAATCTGCTAAAACTGCAGAAAAAATTTTTAATTCTGAATCAATAACGAAACCTGAACCTAATTTACATCACCTCAAGATAGAAGATCTGAATGTAATTGAAAAGATCAATCCCATGAGTACAGCTAAAGATGTTAAAAATTCAGTTAATGACACTAAAAAACTTATAGAAAACAATGAAATAAACACAAGCTTCAAGTGTCCAAAAAATGCTGTACAATTTTATATGAGTTGGAAAAATTTCAGAACCACCGAAGAGAGATACACGTATCTCAAGTTGATTGATTGCCAGGATATTCCTAAAATATTTTTAAATTCTTTAGATAGTGCTGTATTTAGTAATATATTAGAAGTTTTAGTCAAACATTTTATAGGGAATAACGACAAATTATACGACATTTTAAATTCATTTACCGAAGTAAAGAGGTTTAGTGCCATAACTATGTTCTTAAGTGGAGAGGATAAAAGCAGTAAGTAAATTGGGTTGGTTGTTTTAAAATTAGAATATAGAATAGAAATATGCTTTATTGTCACTGAAAATTGTACAATTTTATGGACAAAGCTTACAAAAGTCTAAATAATAGTAACAATCATCATCTTGGAGCTACAGCCCTGAGAGGGCCTCGACCTACTCATCTTTCTACGCCATTCTATTCTGTCCCTTGCTTGCATTTTCCAGTTCCGACTCCGATCTTCTCCTCATCTTGTGTTACCCCGTCCATCCACCTAAGCTTTGGTCTGCCCTGTCTTCGCATTCCCACGGGTTGCGCTGTTAGAATCTTTTTTATCATGTTCGATTCAGGGGCCCGGGCTACATGTCCTGCCTACTACAGGCGGTTTCGCTTAATTATAGTGGTAATATCTTTACCACCAAACGTATGCTTGTAGATATTCTGCAGTTCAAAGTTATATCTACGCCTTCATATTCCGTTCTCACAGACTGCTCCGAATATCTTGCGTAGCACCTTTCTTTCAAAAAACGATAGAGCGGATTTATCTGTTTTAGATAACGTCCATGCATCTGATCCATATGTGAGAACGAGGACTATCAGTGTTCTATACAGCCTTATACGAGTTTTTTGAGACAGACGTTTGTTAGCTAAGTAATTTGATAGACCGTGATAACACCTGTTTGCAATTATTATTCGCCTTTTTATTTTCTCAGATGTGTTATTATTGGGGTTAACTGATGTCCCTAGATATATGAACTCTTTGACTGCTTCGAAGTTTTGGTCATTGATGATTAAATCTGCGTCAATATTTCCAGCTCTTGTGTTTGTGTTAGTCGCCATGAATTTGGTTTTATTTTGATTTATATGTAACCCCATTCGTTTTACTGCTGCTACTAGCTCGGTATCTTGATCATCAGAAACGCCCTCGCTATTTTCTGATTCAAAAATTAAGAAAACAATGTAAGTGGAAAAAAAAAGGTTTTTTGAACTTTTAAGAATGAGTATGTTGGAAGCACTTACGTTTAATGTAAGTTCAGGAGTTTTTCAAGCAATTGTTGATTGATTTCATGCGTTTCATTAAGTTGTTCTTCAAACAAACTCATTGAATTTAACGGTGGAATGTTCTAAAAGAAATGAATCGACATTTTAAAACTATAACCACCTAAGCGTTATACAAAGGTACAAAATATATAGAACAGCAAGGTAATTAAACTTATTACTTTATTATTAAACCAGTAGGTATTAAAGATTTGCAACAATTTAGATAATTTAAGGATTATCTACCTGATTTTCAAAAACGACATCAATATCTAGGCTACCTATTGCACTTTCAATAAGTTTCTTGACTGATCCATCGCAATATTGTCAGATACCTGAAATTGCATGTCTATATCTATATATAAATGTAATATCTATATAAAAAATGTAATAGATATTGGCATATCTATTACATTTTAGTACTTACCATTTTCGTTTCTATTTCTATCACCAACTTGCCCGGAGTCTTTAAGTAGATAAGAGCCTTTTAGTTCGGCTTGAATACATTTCTTTGCTTTACTTGCAGTAAACTCACTTAAAATTATTCACAGAAGGGCTTCACCGGTCTATACAACTTTTTTTAAGGTTATGTTTTTGTAAAGGCCAATCTCCAATGACTTAAGGATAAAAAAGCCAATGTGTAATACTCACTGGATATTGGCCCTTTTATTTAAGTAGAGTGAGCAGTTCTATGTGCACTTTGGCCGTTTTAATTTAAACTGATTTGGAGATAAGCCCGAAATTAAAATTAAGAAATCGACAACCATTCATACAAGAAGATTTGCCTTTTTTGTATGAAAGTTTTGAATATTATAATGTTTGTGGTGATACTAACTCAATAAAGGGAAACATGAAGTTTGGCATTTTTAATACTCAGGTCCAGAAATACGAAAGGTGAAAATCGGTAAATTATGACACAGTAATTTTATTGAAAAAGCATAGAAAATATTTTAGAATAAGAGTTTATTAGTTGTTTTTGATGATTTGTTGTTTATTGCTACAGTGCTAAAATTTTAGGGAAATAGTTACTTGATGTTAGACAATGCACATAATGAAAAGTATATCATATCCTACGCATTTTAATCATTCAAACATCAACATTATTGCATCACTTATTTTAATCATTAAAATTTTTATAGATGTATGGAAGTTATTGGATCACATTAAAGAATGTAAGGAACGAGAAAAAGACGACGTTGACAAATTAATAGCCAAATACGAACTTTAAATTAATTTGCAGCACAACGCACCTTCACGATGTTCTAATTTATGTAAAAATTATTTACGTGTGTAGCACGTTTCTCACTTTATTTTAGGTTCTCTTTTTATATTTATAATATGTTGATATAGTTGTAAAAATTTAAATAAAGTTATAAAAATATTTGTGTTATAATAGATAATATTTATAAAAAATCAACCCTACATTCCTTAATAAAAATCCTTGTTAAAACATCGACGATGCCGCAGAGCTATTTACAAATTGCATTCCTACTGCGGCCGACCAATGTATAGGTAAATACACCATAAATTCCTCAAGAAACGCCGTCCCATGGTGGAACGACTTCTGTAAACTCACAATAAAAGAATACAAGAAGGCTCTTAATAGATATCGCAAAACTGGTAGCATCGAAGATCGTATTCATTTTAAGAAAATGCGAAAAAGTCCAAACGAATTCTGAAGGAAAGCAAAAAAGAATCCCGGAAAAAATTCGTTGACAGCATAACTTCAGATACCCCTCCCTTCCAAATGTGGAAAAAATTAAACAAATGGGAGGTTTAAACACATATCCGTAATAACAGTTGGAGATAATGGCATTACAAATTATAACCGTAATGTTAGCCAAATACTTTCAAAACAAACCTAAGTCTGAACTCTCCATTTCGTACCCCACAAACCAATCACTACCTAACCCTATCCAAACCAATCCAATAAATCTCGCCTTTACAGAAGTAGAGTTAATTTTGGCAATCTCATCAATGAAAAACTCATCTGCAGGTCCTGATGACATCCCGTTTATCTTTCTCAAACATCTACAGGCAGGAACCCTCTTGAAGCTACTTGCGCTCTACAATAAGATATGGTTCAGCCAAAGCTTTCCGAGTCTTTGGCGATAGTCGCTTATCATACCGATCAGGAAAAATGACTCATCTTCTAACGCTGCCAGTGCCTTCGGGACAATCTCACTAACATGCACAATGGTCAAACTATTAGAAAAGGATCAAGTCTCTCGAATTACGGGAAATATGATTAGTTTCTCCCTATTACTAGATTCTATCAAAACTCATTATTTATTAGAAGTGTACTTTTCGGGTGAATAATATCCAAAACTGTGATAAATTTGTAATGTTGCACTAAATCATCAAGGTTCTAGATCGGTTCAAAAAAAAGTTATCTGAAAAAATGTAACAGTGGGATCAAGTCTTCTTGTCTTCTCTTCTCCCCTAGAATCATTGTTATTATATATAAGACAAGCATAATTCAAGCAAAATAAACTCACAGAAAACTCAAGGAGTTCGTTAGAGATTAGAAAATACCGGTATATTGTTATTATGCAAAACGCAAAAAGTGACGAGATTCTTATAATCGAGAATTAAAATAATCTATATTTACGCAATAAAATTTGCGCAATTTGCCTAATAAAAGATAATGAAATATGCATAATTCTCATGAATTGTTTATCAATATATTTTTAATTTGATCTAAATCTCTATTTGTGATGGCACGTGTCGCTAACATTGTTTAAAGTTTTTTTTTTATTTTTCATTATTCATTATTTAACATTTCCTGCACACATAATAAAAATAATTTGATTGATTAATCGTAATATAAAATGATCTAATGATATTTATGAAAATGATACACATTAACAAAACTTCTGAATCTATCAGTTACAAGACTGATTATTCCTGTAAACTCCTTTTAGCCTATGAAGGCCGATATGTAATTAAGATATGATCAGTGGGCCTCAAACAGTGGGGCGTTAATATTTAATTTAAATCGTTTAAAAAGTAAAAATATTTAATTTCCTGTATTTTATGTTCAGTAATAATATTGGATTTTACTGTATCAAAGTCAAATAAAATGAATATATGTATATACAGGGCGGTTAAAAGATGTGGGACGGAATATTTCGAATAATTCAAATTATTTGTCGACATCAAATGTTCATCAAGAAAAAGTAGAGTAAAAATTATACGAATGGTTTTGCATGCAGTTAAATTGGAAAATACTTGCCAAGTTGCTAGTATGTCCAAATTTGAATAAAATACATCCAAGACTTTACTTTTAGCAGACACTGTATTAAATATAACCTTGAAACAAATTGGCTCTAAATCACTTCCGAGTTTTCAGAAAAAGAAAATGTTTTGTATAGTCTAAGTAATTAATATCAAAGCTATTGAGAGTATGCAGTCCAGTAATTAAACCAAAGGTACTTTATCATTTAACTAAAACACACCACAAAGTTTAAATTGAATTCCCGAAACACTTTTTTGTTTCTTCATTTTAGCAAACGATTTGTCCAATTCACTGGTTTTTGCTGATTATGTATTTTGTTAAATTAATAAAACACAAAAATACAGCCCACGACCATCAATTAATTTTTAACGATAAACAGAAGAGAAATATGATGACGTTTGAATTTGAACTACTTTGTTTATGACGGTGTCGTTAAGAGAAAGATATTTTAAACAGCATGAATCATTTTTTAATGATTGTGTGGATTTAAAAAATACATTACTAAACAAATTTTTAAGTGTGTATAAAATCTTAACTGTCTTTTTTCCTGAGATTACAATTATTATGACATATGGTATTTACTCCTTATTTTTCAAATAATATATTCTTGTAAATGCACAACTTTAATTATTGGGTAAACCTATATTATACGATACCTATGTCAGAAGAAATTTAAAAAATTAACATTGCAATAAAATTAAAAACCAATAAAGGATAACTTGTTGAGCAGTCCTGGTTGAAACAACAGAGCAGTAAAATGTTATTCATAAAGGTAATGTAAAATATATAGCCGCTTATCTGGTCCGCTAGTAATAAAGTTACCAGCATTTAATTGCAAAGCGGTCTTCTTCTTAAAAGATGAAGAAGTTGAGGTATCTAGAGCTGAGAGTGCCCTACTCCCATCTTCACTTCATCTTTCACTCAAGCATCAAGGCATCATCTTCCACTCTCATTTGGGTTTAAATATGAATCTCAATATTTCAATGAGCCAGGATTGATTGGAGATGGCTTTTATAGACTTTCGCTCAATGAGTGTACGGGAAGTAACAAACTTTCTTTCACAATTTAACTGGGATGATTTGTTTAAAGATAAGAGTCTTGATATGATTAACATGTTTTATGATGTTATTTACCTTGCAATTAATATTTTTGTTCCCCTGAAAAAGTATTCAGCAAAAAAGTTTCCTGTCTGGTTTTCTCCAGAGCTTAAAAACCAATAATAAAAAAAAATGCACAAAAGTATCTCAAATCTCAATTACTTGCTGAATATAATGAGTTTTCTTTATTACGAGTTAACTGTAAACAACTGAAAGAACAATGCTATCTTGATTATGTTGTTCTAACTGAATTTCCTCTGAAAGATAATGTTAAAAATTTTTGGAAATTATATTAAAACCAATAGTTGCAGAGATATATGAAAAGACAACAAGAAAAAATATGCATTAAAAGTTTTTAATGCATTGTTTATATATTTCTCACCCAACTCAAAACATATATTGCCTGATATAATAAAATATATGAGTGTCAAATACAGGGAAGATAGCATATTATGTTAAAGCTGAAATGTTTAGACAGAGCAATTAAAAATTAAGCTCCACTTAAAAATTTACTCTAAAAAATGCAATATAATATTATAGAAGCTACGTAGAATAATAGAGAATATATTACAAATAAAGTTTCCAGATTTTGGACTCCAGATTTTTTGAAATTTACAGATACAACAAATCAAGTCATGCATGCACTGCTAACACACAATGATATGTCTAAGTGATAAGATATCTTAAATAAAAATGCTGTAATAGATTATATCTTATATATTGAAAATATAAAAATGGGTTTAACTTCAACAATATTATTTTCCCCCTCTTAAACGAAGTACCAAATGAAGGGTAGACTCGTTCTGAATATTGTAATATAAGAGAGTGTCGACATCTTCCAACTGCTTTCCAGCAAAGATTAATCTTTGTTGATCTGGCGGTACACCTTCTTTGTCTTGAATTTTAGCTTTGACAATGTTAATTGTATCTGAAGGTTCTACTTCAAGGGTAATGGTCTTACCACTTAAAGTTTTAACAAAAATTTGCATACCTCCTTTAAGACGACTTACCAAATGGAGGGTAGATTCTTTTTGGATGTTGTAGTCTGAGAGAGTACGGCCATCTTCCAACTGCTTTCCAGCAAATATTAATCTTTGTTGATCTGCTGGTATAGCCTCTTTTTCTTGGATTTTTGCTTTGACACTTTCAATTGTGTCTAAAGGATGTACTTCAAGGGTAATGGTGTTTCCAGTAAAACTTTTTCGCATACCCAATCTAAGATAAAGCGATACATGGACGGTAGATTCTTTGTGAATGTTGTAGTCTGAGAGAGTACAGCCATCTTCTAACTTCTTTCCATCAAAAAATAATCTTTGTTGATATCGTGGGATGCGTTCTTTGTCTTCAATTTTAGCTTTGACAATGTCAATAGTATCTGAAGGTTCTACTTCAAGGGTAATGGTCTTAACAGTAAAAGTTTTAACAAAAATTTGCATACGTCCTTTAAGACGACTTACCAAATGGAGGGTAAATTCTTTTTGGATGTTGTAGTCTGAGAGAGTAAGGCCATCTTCCAACTGCTTTCCAGCAAATATTAATCTTTGTTGATCTGCTGGTATAGCCTCTTTTTCTTGGATTTTTGCTTTGACACTTTCAATTGTGTCTAAAGGATGTACTTCAAGGGTAATGGTGTTTCCAGTAAAACTTTTAACAAAAATTCGCATACCCAATCTAAGATAAAGCGATACATGGACGGTAGATTCTTTGTGAATGTTGTAGTCTGAGAGAGTACAGCCATCTTCTAACTTCTTTCCATCAAAAAATAATCTTTGTTGATATCGTGGGATGCGTTCTTTGTCTTCAATTTTAGCTTTGACAATGTCAATAGTATCTGAAGGTTCTACTTCAAGGGTAATGGTCTTAACAGTAAAAGTTTTAACAAAAATTTGCATACGTCCTTTAAGACGACTTACCAAATGGAGGGTAGATTCTTTTTGGATGTTATAGTCTGAGAGAGTAAGGCCATCTTCCAACTGCTCTCCAGCAAATATTAATCTTTGTTGATCTGCTGGTATAGCCTCTTTTTCTTGGATTTTTGCT